TGGCCCGCTCTGGTCCCCAGAACGTCCCCCAAACCCTAGCAAGTCAGTTCAGCTCCCGCCGGGCCCTTGCCAGGGGACTCCCAATCACTGCTTCCCCGTAAGACCCCTGCAGATAGCTCCCCGATGAACGCCTCCAGCTAGGATGACTGCCAGAGCGCTTTCATTCGTGGCGATCCCCTAAACGCCTGCCAGGGCCCCCAGCTGATACCTCCTCGTAGGATCCCCTCCACATAGCGCCCCCCGTCATTGCTTCCTCCAGGTCAGCCTCCAGATGCCATCAGCATCGCCCCTCCCCATGTAGGGCAGCTGCCCGTGAACCCTCTTATTCTTATTCTCTATATAATTCTCCCCAGAGTGTCGCTTTAGAGCTTTGCAGCAGAACTGCCCCCCGTTATCTCTGTCCACACACAGCAACGGCCCCCAGTGGCCCTGACCGCCTCCCTCCCCAGCAGAGCGCCCCTTCGTGGGTGTGAAAATACTTTCTATTCTGGTCAGCACCAAGAATGCCTTTTTCCTTTCTGCAAATCCTCCAGTGATTCCCCTTAAGAATACCCCTTTCAAAACCACCCCCCTCGCAGCGGGACAGCTCCCTCTAGAATTCTTTCACACTCACATCCTCTCCCGCTTCAGGCAGAAATATCTGCCTGCTTAGCTCCAGGCTCCCATGAAATACTCCCGTACCTCCTCTCCCCCCACCCTCGTCGTGGTCAGCCCCCGTCTTCATTACTTCTGCCACAGAACAGTGTCCGGCAGTGAGGCAGTGAAGCCTTCCCTCCCAGAATGTTCCTCATCCTCTTCCTATGGCATGAACAACTGTTGCCCTGACCTGCAGCATCTCACCCAGCTCTCATGCCATCGTCCTGGACTCCCTAGGGAAGACCGTGGACTTCACCGGGGCATAACTTCTCATAGGCATTCATTCTGCATTGAACGCATATTCACTATTCTAGCTGAAGGGTGTATACAGCCATGAAGGGGAGCGATGCACACAGTCTTCTCACTGTCCAGGGTCTCACAGTCTTGTTGATCAGAAACGAGTCAACAAAGATACACGGGCTTTTGTGGGTTCTCTGAGAGCCTGATGAACTACTTTAGAGGGGAAACCTGAATTACAAGAGGCAGCTTAGCCATGCAAAGATCTGGGTGAGCAGGCAGCAAGAAAAGCAAGTGCAAAGACCCTGAAGTGGTGGTGAGCCTGGTGAGCGGAGGAACAGCAGGGGAGGCCGGTGAGGGTGGAGCGGAAGATTTGAAAGGAAGAACAAGAGGAAGGAAGGTTTGGTCTCAAAAGGCTTTGGAGGTGAGGGCACTGGGATAAATTATCTAGCCCTTGGCACGTCTACCGAGCCCAGAATGTTCTTCATTCATTCATACGTTCATTGGTAAACACTTGTTGAACAACTGTTTAATGAGTACCTACTTTACGCTGGGGGTACAACAGAGAACAAAACAGACAAGAATCCCTGTCCTCATGGAGTGGATATGCTTAGTTGAGAGGGCGGATGATTAAGAAACAAAATACAGGCCAGGCGAAGTGGCTCATGCCTGTAATCCCAGCAGTTGGGAAGGCCAAAGTGGGAGGATCGCTGGAGGCCAGGAGTTCAAGACCAACCCCAGCAACATAGTGAGACCCTGTCTTTACAGGAAAAAAAAAAAGCTGGGGGTGGGTGGTGTGCACCTGTAGTCCCAGCTATTAAGGAGGCTGAGGTGGGAGGACTGCTTGAGCCCAGGAGTTCCAGGCTGCAGTGAAAAAAAAAAAAAAAAAAACACCAAGAGTATATATGCATGTTCAAAGTAAAATATCATGGGATAAAGAGATAGAGCTGGGGGGTCTGTGGTTCAGAATGGCCTCCCCCAGGATATTCCTATGTCTTGTCATCTTGTCCCTCCCAAAAGCCACACACCAAAGTTATACAAGGGTAAAAATTCCCCTTCTCCTGGACAACTGTGGCCCACTGGGGGGCTGCTCTTATCAGCACCCCAACCCCAGGAGTGAAGTGATTAGGAGGATGAGCCCTGGATTCTACTAGGGTTCACAGCTTTGAGCAAACCACTCCCTCCTTTCCTAGCCTCATTCATTCACTTCTTCAAACGAAAATGCATCAAGCCAGGAACTGTTGTAGGTCCCGGGGATGGAACAGTGAGCAAGAGATAAAAATCCGGCCGGGCGTGGTGGCTCACACCTGTAATCCCAGCACTTTGGGAGGCTGAGACGGGCGGATCACGAGGTCAGGAGATC